TGTTAATCTGTAATAAAAGTAGTCATTAGTTGCAGCAGTATATAAAATAGGGAAAGACAAAAAAATGCAATTAGCAAATCGCAGAAGCTTTAAGTTAGGATACACAAGGTGCAGCATTTCAACAATGAGACTGAAAACTGGAATTCAAGTTGATGGATTTTGTGCAGATGGAAACTTTCAGGAGTTGTTTATGCTCACTTTTTGATCAGTAGTTCAGGTTTACTCCCAGTGGTTCATACTACCTTGTCTTATTATTCAGCAGCTACCTAGACTGTAAATTATGGTTTTGCAAATTAATCCATCGTCCATGAGTGACATTTACACTTTTGACGGTGTGTCACGTGGTAAGGCTCGCGCACATGTTGTAAACCAACCACACAGTGAAAACTGAAATGTAGGTTGACTTTAACATTAGTTCCAACACAACCAAAACAATAAGCAAAATGCAGCTTTATGAATATATACAGTCTTCCTCAGATGTATTCATACCTCCCATTAAAGAAGGAAAAAACAGCTGTCACTGAAATAAGTTGAAATTGACAAAAGTATAAGTGCGGCGCTTGAAGCTGAGAAACTTTTCGCGGCACAGAATCGACATAAAGTCCCGACAGCCTGGTGGCAACGCAAAGATAAGAGTCCTACCTTAAGCCAGGTGAGCATCTGTCACGACGCTAACCTCCAGGGTGGAGAGCAGGTGTGATTTAGCGGCGGTATTTCGGCTCTTCACCTGCTAACTCGGCCGGTTGAACAGGTGCGTTGATCGAAGCCGCTGTTAGCATCACGTTAGCTGTTAGCATCACGTTAGCTGATAGCATTAACTTAGCTGTTGATTTAACGACAGCTTCTGTATCACACTGTTACCAAATGAGATTAAAACATACTTCTTTTTTTTCACCACCCTCTTTAATTTTTTAAATGCCAATTTCTGTATTTAAATGTGTTAAATTCGTCGCCTACTGCCCTGTTTGTTCAGGCCGCCAAATGACCTTTCTTCTACGCTGCCCTGTGGCCTGTTACCTCGGCGTTGTGTGTGTGTGCAGCAGCGCCCACTGTGGCGGTGAGGTGGAATTACAAGTGGATCAGGCGCTGCGTTCAAACGCAACCCGTAAATTAGATTTGCAGAGCTTTTTCTAAGAGGAATATTAAATATTTTTTTACATTTGTTTTTTTAAATATTTAATTTTTATTAAACTTTACATCAGCATAAAAACTAGTTCTTTTTTTTCTTTTTAAATCTGAGTTTAATCAGTCTATTTAGAACTAGATACGGAATATAACTCTGTCATTTCTGTTCTGAGGTGCCAGTATTAGATTTAATTGTATTTTTAAAGTACTTCCCATAGATATATATATAATGAAGGACAATGGAATATAACTTCCATATCATTATCCTGGATATAATCATAACCATAGATGTGTATAATAAAGGCTCAATTACTTCCCCCTAAGCCTGCATTATAATGGATGGCTGCATACACGTCCAGAATACAAATGGCTGGTTTTCTATATTTTGTGCAGTACTATTTCTGGATGAATAAAGTGCTCTTATGCTCTTTATATAATTTACAGCTGTCAGATAAATACTGCAACTATAAATTGGCACTATTTCCCTCTCAAAGGTCATACAGGATATAAAGGAGAATATAAATGGAAGTGACAGCATATTGCAATTATACTGCAGTATTCAAGAAAATGTCATTTTTCACTTTAAACCAAGTAACTGAGACACAAACCTCACAGCAAGGAATCACTGCAGACACCCCTGAAATAAAGCATCTGAAGAAAAAAAACAAAACAAACTACCACATGTTGCCTTTTCTTCCCCGATGACATAAATTTTTGATGGATGAAACATTTTCTTTAAGTAAGTTCAGCCTCTTAGTATTCTGCTTCAGTGCCGAGCCGCCTTCATTAGCATGGACGGAAGCATCCGAGGGTGTCCACAGTGTTGAAGGCATCTGGTACTTTTGTTTGTAAAAAAAAAAAGTCAACATACAGTTAATATTTAATACCTGAACATCCCGTCGTTGTACTTTGGGGATTTGTGTCAACAATGCAGTCTAGTTTATTTGACGGCTCTTTTGCCACATCCTAATTTATTCATTTATTCACATGTTATGTACGTTTCCTGTAGCTGGGTGCAAAGAGCTGAACCTTTGTTTCTCGGTATTTATTTGACACTGAAGCCGATGTGAGAGAAAAAAACTGTGTGAAGCCTGCAGGCTGCATTCCTTTAAAGTTTCTCATGTAAAGCAGCTGATTGGCTCCCGCTAAGATTTGACTTTATATGCACATTTTAAAACCAACTAATTGAATACAATCCCTGGAAACTTTACCTAAGTGTTGCATAACTTTCACTCGACAGTTGCATTCCTCGGTGCCATAAAGTGATGGCTTTCGGAGTTTGGTGTGTAAAAGACTAGTTTGCAGCCAACATGTTTGGGAGGAGCGCCACCAACAGCGAGCCAGACCTCACCACACAACGGCCGTCTTTGTTGTGTCTGAAAGGCTGAAACCAGCAGAGTGGAGGCTGTTGTAGTGGCGCATTAAATCACACACGAGTCAAATTCACAAATGGATGGAAAGTAGAGATTTCTGCACAAGTTCTAAACGGATGGAAAAGTTAAAATACATGAATAAATAAATATATTCTATGCAGAATGAAGCCCATTCATTTTTGTAGAAATTTTACAGGATCTTTTTAGACAGATGGTTCTTGGGTTGGGCTGCAAGGTGGTTCAGTGGTTAGCACCGTTGCCTCGCAGCTAGAAGGTCGCCGGTTCGCGTCTTAAGTTTTAAATAGTTGATTTCATTTGTGGTTAATATTCCATGTTCTGGGCTGCAAGGTGGCTCGGTGGTTAGCACCGACGACTAGAAGGTCGCCGGTTTGTGTCCCGGCGAGGACACCCAGGATGTTCTCCCCGTGCAGCGTGGGTTCTCTCCGGGTTCTCCAGCTTCCTCCCACACAGTCGAAAACATGTTGAGGTTAATTGGTGATTCTAAATTGTCCGTAGGTGTGAATGTGAGTGTGCTTGGTTGTCTGTCTCTGACTCCAGCCTCCTGCGACCCTAGTGAGGATGAAGATAATGGATGGATGGATGGCTCTTAGGTTCTATGGTACATAGAAGCATATGGTTCTGTATAGAGCCCTAATGAAGGATGCACATAATCCCTTCTCTACACAGACTGCTATAGACTAAATTAAATGAGAAATCTGAAACAAATTGGATTACCTAAAGTGTCCACGACTATGTTACAGGTCTGATATTTGAGGTGCTTGTTGCTGCAAAACTAATTGAATAAAAGCAGCGGTTTCTACAAAACAAAACACGCCTCCTCCACTAAGTAATCCTTCAGTCCGTCAGGTGGAAAGAACAGTAAGTGTCCTTGAATGGCCTCGAGGGTTTTGTATATTCTCAGGAGCAGCGCAGCGGTGCAGCAGCACTACAGGGAATCCAGTTACAGCAGCAGCCCAATGATGTGTCTTCATGTAGCCGCAGATGCGATGCCTGAATCGTCTGTATAGCTTCTCCTGTGAAAGCAGCGGCCTGCTGTGTCGCATAACGACGCCGTGAGAGCAGCTCTGAGTAAACGAAACAGCAGGAACGAGGAGCCGAAACTCACTATAAAGCTATGTACGTCTGCAAATGTGCAGCTTTTAGTTCAGGATTTTCATTCTGTTATCATGCAAATAATGAGTGTTGACTGAGATAATAAGTAACAGACATTTATATTTTATAAGCAGCTGTTCTAAAGTGTCTCAATTTATCACTATGTATAGTTTTGATCTTGGACCAACTCAGTCATTCAGTTTAATATAACTGCCAAGAATCTGTTTATAAAATACCATTATAATGTCTTTATAATCAGATTCAAGTGTGTTATATGGTTTTGAATGTTAAGTACTCTCAGCAGTGGTTACGTCTTCATTAAATATATATTTCATACACTTACAGCAGCATTATATCATCGCCTTCTGCTCTAGCATCCACTCAGACGCTCCTTCAGAGGAGGTTCGTGTCTATGAACCATTTATTAGACTGAAAAGACACAATAAACTCCTGCATATGCGTCAAATGAATTCAGACGCCCTTTTTAATTCAGGTTTCTGATTAATAGAAAATGATTCTGCACAGCGCCCTCGGCTTCTCTTGATGTTAATCACAGTTAAATTAACCACATTTTCCCCTCCGTTTGTCTCCTGAAGGTTCTTTTATGTCTGAGTTTTAATGTACAACATATCAAATGCATCATTTTCTTCCAGTCATTACAGTAACATTTACCCGAACAACGTTTTTTCATGTTAGTTTAACTTAAAATATTACATAAAAGCTGCTCGGTTTAACTTGTTAGTGGTTTAAGAATGAATTAACTGACAATTGCTGCTTTTTCATGTTTGTTTTTTTTCCCTGACAGAATCCAGAAGAGCCGAACAAGGACGACACGGGACAACAGTGTGACTTTAAGCAATACATTATTTATACATAACATATACTTAAAGATTTCTGAAGGAATTAGTATTGAAGATGATATGCTGGGTTACATTCTGATTGAAGCCCTTTTGTTTTTTTTTTAAAAGAAGCTTTTAAAAAGAATTAAAATGACCCCCCCTAAAAAAAAAAAAAAAAAACTAGAGGAAAAAAAAAAGAAAAAACACCAAAATAAAAACCATCACATAGCAACCAAGAGAGAACAGTAAGAATCCATGAGACGCGAGCGAGTGAGCAGCTCGCACAACAAAACCAAACTCACATAACACAATGATCTCTCCTTCAGCTGTCCTAAGTCGTCTCCTCGGGTTTTTTTTTTTATTCTTTAGAGCCCAGAATCTGCAGCTTTTCTCTGATCGACCGTCAGACACCTGAACATGTCATTAGTCTCGTTAATGGTGTGTTCACAGTGTGAGCAGCGTGAGATCAACAAGGAGTGCTCAGTTGATTTATTAGATTCACCTTTCTTCATTTTCTATCTTTGTAAGCTGGTTTAAATAAAGATATGAGACTTAGTGGGTGACCGTGATGAGCCTTCTGACAGATTAGGGTTTGTTTTAAGATTTTATTTGATGATCAACTCATAATTCTTCTCGCCATCTCATTAATTTTGCACATTTCTGATTCTATTGTTAATCACTTTGCGACTCTTATTATGAAAATCACCTGCAATTCAAGGTGATCTTTGTCCAATTTCTATATTTATCTATATCTATATCCGGCTCAACTGTGGTTTCGTTGTCATATCACAGCTTGTTTGTGTTTTCTATTCACACCTCGTCAGCGAACACAGAAAGAGTGACGGGAAGCTTTTCTACACTCGCTTGTGTTTTTTATTTTCGGCAAGAGATCTTCATAAATGGACAGTGCACATGCTGTCCATGGAGTCATAACTTCGTACCCTCGTGGGCTTGCATCCCGCAGACACTCCCAGCTTTAATCCGTCCGACTTGTGAAATCGAAGACGCGTGATGACTCAGAGGGCTGGAACTAGACTAGACAAGATGAATGATTAATTGTCAGTGTAGCTACAAAGCTTGCAGCTCTGCATTTAGGTTACTGACAAGAAGAATCAATATTCTGCAAAAAAAAGCAGCTAATATGAACTGACTCTCTGAGCTGAAGAACCGTTCTTTTAATGTTTTTTTTGATTAGCATAACCTTCTCTGCCCTTGTTTCGCCACCCAACTGCTTAAAAAATGCTCCAAGCACCATTCATTTACATTATCTTCTCAATCAAAGCTTTGCTGTTTACAAAAAGCATCCCAGGTGTAACTAAACTGTAAATCTACAATCAGCATAAAGCTGCTTGTCAACCACGTGGCTCACAGTGTGAACACGCCAACAGCCGGACCGCGAACAAGACCAGAGTTCTGAGCAGGCAGCACAGGCCACGTGTGAAATCCTGGATCGCTCAACTGTTGGAAACCAAGTCATGTCTTTAAATGTACTCCAGTTACCAGGTGACTCAGAGAAACCAGGTTTGGCAGGTAATCAGAGAACACAAGCAGATCTGCATATGCATGCAGCAGCACAGTAATCAGATTTCTCTTCCACGCCTGAGGCTATTTCAGGAACATTACTTATTTATCCGATCAGTTTTCCTGTTTGTTTTTGTTTCGGTGGATCTGATCCGTGTCTGACCAGCTTGAGTTTCTTTCTCACATTTTAAATTTTAAACCTTCAACAGATTTAGCTTCCCAGAGCTACCTGGAGCGTTGTACTTGGGAGTTATTTTGAATACAAGAACACATTTTTAATTGCAGCAGAGGTATTTGTAATTTCCTCCAGCTGCTGCAACACTTTTCCGTCCTGTCCTGAAATTACACTGCCAAGAAATCAGTGTTCTCCACGGCCGGCTAGCTGGAGGAAACTGAGTGTGACCAGGTTACTAAAGTGCACATTAAAGCACAGCGATCCAAACTCCCACATAATGTTGGTGGATGTTGCAATGAATCGCTGCTGACTTTTCTGAGGAGCAGAAGTTGATAGAAAAAAAAACAAAACAGATGTAGTTAACACCTGGAAAATATCATCACAGCATCTGCTCAGTTTAGGAATCAACCTGCTGCCGTGACGTGGTCATAAAGACGACCTCCGACCTGTTTGGTAATCGTGAGGCGAGTGTCAAAAAGCTGCAGATGCTGCTGAGATGTCCTGACAGGAGGAAGAGGAGGAAGAGGAAGAGGAGGAGGAGGAGGAGGAGGAGGAGGGCTGAGCACAGGGAGACCCGAGACAGCGTCATTTCAGAACTGATTAGAACTGTACAACAAAAAACATCATAACCCAAAACACATCTGTACAAATGTACAAAAATCAACAGGATTAAAACAACATGAAGATTCATTTTCAAAACATCCAACAGAGTCACTGTGGATCTGACAGTATGTGGTAAGAACCTGGATCAGAGTCCATGTGCCAACTTTTGTTAAGTGCAATCCACAGCAAACCTGAGGCCGGACTTTGTGCTTCCGGGTTTGACGGTAAAAGTCGTCGTCTCCATCAGCACCTCAGCCCCAGTGGGTATAAAGGACAGCTGGTTAGTGATCATTAACATGTTAGCTTCCCTAATCACTTAGGTTGCCTTTACTGTAGCAACGTAAGCACTAACAGCAACGTAAGTCTGTAAAGTCTAAAGACAAAAAGAAAACGATCCCTTTTCTTCTGCCTGTTCTGCTGTGCTGCAGCTCAAATGAGGCGTTGCTTTATACAACCAAAACCTTGTCAAAAAATGCACATAACTGACTGTAGAAAAATAATAATGCTCTGACTGTTGAAGTCAAAATGTAGATAATCATCTAGAGACACTCAGAGAAGTGTCGCTCGTAAAGGGTGAGCATTTCGTTAGAAGCAGCTAAATTTGTTTTTTCTTTCCCCTTTTTGATCTCAGATAAAGTTAAAAAAAAAAGATTTCAGTTTCCAGTCCCAACTCAAGTCTCTAAAACACAGTCAGAGATAACTCGTCGCTTTGACTGTTTTATAAAACACCTCTGAGGAGTTTCATTCCAAAAACCTGAAGCACACAGCGTTCTGCGTTTAAACTGAGGAAAAACATGAGAAGAAACCCAGAGAACAAGTCCACAATGACCAATGTGGGAAATTAACCACATTAGCAGGTGTTTTAGTCATCGTTTGTCTGAATGAACAGATAATGAACTCAATATTCAATCTAAACTGACCTCACAGCAGCTCACATTTTAAACTGGTAGCTGCATATGTTTAAATCCCTTCTAAGCTACGGGAATAATCACAGACGGTAGAGGAGTTAGCGCTGCTGCTGCTGATGTGCTGTTTTCACTTATTAAAATCGCAAGTTAGTCAAAAAAAAAAAAAAAAGCTGAACCTGGCTCTTTTGCTTCAACACAAGGAAACATCATCCAGCATCAAATCAAGTTGAATTAAACACACGCATATCTGGTAGATGAGTCTGTAACGAATTTCTGCTTGTTACCTTGCAACCATCGTGATGACAAAATAATCCTTTCAAGGGGTGTAAAATCCTGTCTCAGAGCATTATAAACCTTCGTGCGGTGTCCAACAGCACAAAGCCGCTCTGGTCTGAACACCTGCTTAAGGTGGAGCCACCAGGATGTGTCAGTCTGAACAAACTGCTGCTTTTCTCAGTTGTCAGTGAGTGACAGAGAAACAGGACAGCTGCGTATCCGCTCGTTTGATTTGTCTCAAAGTGTGTATTTGCTGTTCATGTTTAATGACTGATATGAGACCTGAAGCAACACAGCAGGACTATTAAATGTGCTGAAGATTGAATGAAGGTTTGAGGGGCTCTAAAGGTCCTGGTTTGTGTCTGAGACTTTTAGAAATAAATGGAACTGTGAAAACCTCTAACGGCAGGAAAAATGGAGAATGATCCCACAAACTGGCTTCATGTTAACTTGATTAATTTGCAGTTTTGTTATAAGGTTTTGGTTCCCAACTTTGAAGACTAATTACTTTCTAAACCATGCCGGAATAAAAGTTTTGGTGTTTCTAAGTGCAAATCAGTTCTTTTGAACATTGAGGAATGAACCTCTTCAGAGGAGTCACTGGGAAGAGGAACTCCCGACTGAAACTGGTGACACTAACATCTGTGAGAGTAAATCAACCTGAACTCTCCGCAGGCTGCCGCAGGTAGCTCGTTACAATTCCTCCCAGCAGCCTCTTTCAGTTCCTGGTTCAGCGACTGATCACATGACTTGGGTTACACACACAGTCATGTGATAAGCAGGCCGCGCTTTCCATAGGAAAGTTCTGCTGACGAGTAAGGAAGGACGCAAGGAGGGAAGGAAGGAAGGACGGACGGAAGGAAGGACGTGTTAGCTTGTGTTGGCAGAGGAGCGGAGTTCAGCGGAGGTGCGTTTGTTTTATGACACATTGCGGCCGTCTGACCTCAGAGCAGCACATGGTGGAGCCGCTGACAGGAAGACAACGTGCTGATTTCCTCACTTTCATTCCAGAGAACCAGAGCAGGGAGGCGCTGCGCAGGCTGTGGCGCAACACATAATCCCGCGACAACAAAAGGATACACAAAACAAGCCCTAACACTTACTGATTATTGCATTTCATTTAATTTCATTCATTCACTGGAGGTATCAGCTGAGCGTTACAGAATGCTCTCTGCTCTGTGTGAAGCATTATGTTTATCTGACGTTCCCGATTAATTTTTTTCATACCAAAAAGAAATCACACTTGAGCTCAATCAGTGTTTTGCACACCTCTGTTGGTCACACAGCCTCTAAACAAGCCTGCAACTAAAAGGAAAAGAGCTCCATCTTTTTACCCCACTCCTGCAACTAATGACTCACACCCTAATGGGCAGCCGTCACCACTTCTTCTTGTCTTTTGTTTCCACAGTGCTCCGCCCATGAGGTGATACTAAATCCAAGTTCCAGGGATTCTCAGGAGAGGTGCGATGCAACAGCTTGTTTAGCAACACAGAAAAAAAAAAAAAAAAAGCCATGTCAATGAAGGACACGTGTTGAGACAAGCGCTGCATAAAGACGTGGGCCGTGATCAGGTGATAGTCAGACGTTTTGCTGCCTAATTATCCATTTTGCACAATTTTGTGGCACAAGAGGCTAGTTTCTCTACATTTTCTAGTCATGGGCATGTATGTTTCATGTAGTGAGCCATTCTGTTTAGATGTTTCTCAAGGATGCATGTAGGCAAACGTGAGATGTTCACATGTATGCGTCCATTATCAACACTCCCTTCTGTATTTTGTAAAGCATAGTGGAAACACAAGGCAGAACCTAAATCCTCACAGGTTCTTCAAGTTCAGGTGATGGGTCATAATTCCCCTTGAGAAAAAAAAAAAAGAATATTAGCAGCTAAATCTGAAAGCCAGAGCCTGCCTTTTTAAAGATTGGATCGCTGGTTAAAGTGTCTTTCAAGTGTCTCCAGGAAAAGTCCAAATTGAACTCTTCCTGCGTGTCGGCTGGTTGGTGATTTTCCTGCTTTTCTGACACACGAAACCAAAAAAAAAAAACAAGCCCATCCTATGTAATGTGCATCAGAGCCAACCTCTCATGAAGTCCCTGTTTTTTTGCAGACTGGTTTTATTAACTTATAACCTTTTCCTTACTGAGCTCAATTTCCTACAAGGCACTACGTGACGGCATAGGCAGAAAGCAGAGTTAGTTTTTTTTTGGGATGTCAGCTGAGGAAACTCACAAAAAGTGTGCTAAGAGAGACTCACCGTGAGACGAGGTTTAGTTGATTTGTCAGAAGCAACTACATCGTTTAGAAAAGCTCTGGGTTTAGCGTAATATCTACATTTTGTTATTTATAAAAAGGGTTGTTTTTTTGCGTTTTACTCATGACAAATTTACAAAGTCGGGTAGAAAAATGCCAGAATTCGGTCACAATAACGTCCTGTTTGGTGTAACACCTGCAGGACAGAGGAGATAAAGGCCCAAACATTTGCTTTTCCCTGCAGAAATTACCTTGTTTTAGTTCACGGACAGAACATAAAAAAGAAAAAAATGAAGGAGAAATTAAATTAATAGTAGGACAGAGCAGAGCGGAAGATTCTCATTAGCACCGTTGTTTTCTGTAGTGACTAATTGCAGCCTAATTAAGAGGCGAGAGAGAAGGGCGGACCGAGCGGCGATGATGAACAGTCAGACTTTATCCCAGAGTTCTGCTGGTCATGAAGTTAATTCCACATTCCACTGATTAATCACTGTGTTCAGGAAAATATGTATCCCTGCTGGAATCAAAGGGGGAAAAAAAAATAATCATTTTGGTTTGCAGACAAGACTGAAACTCCAAAGCGAATTAATAAAATAATCCTCAGAGGTGGAACTCTTGTCACAAGAATCACGATTCAATCATCTGGGAGGAAAAAAAAAAAGAGACAAAATGAGAAAAATGATCAGCAGAGTATTTCCTCCTCGGGACAGGCTGTCGGGAGGACGGGGCATTCCTCAGTCACTGCTGTCGTCTTCGTCTTCGTCGTCCGACAGGTTGTTGCTGTTGAACTTTGACCGGCTGATGGAGTCTGAGCGGGGCGCGAGGCTTCCCGACGTCAGCTGCACGTAGCAGTACTCGCAAACACGAACGGGTTTAGAAGACTGGCTGGGAAGGAGGTACTTCTTCTCTGAGCACGGCCCACAAACCACAAAGCCACACTTCCTGCAGTGGTGACGGCGGCTGACCGGCGTAAACTTCACCTTCTGGCAGCGCATGCACACCGACGCCTCCGAGTCAGGCACCCACACGGCGGCGTGCTCGCCCGTCGGGGACTTTCCGCTCTTCTGCAGCAAGTCTCCAACACATTTCCCTATGTGGTTCATCCACTCGGACTTTTCGGTGGCGGTGGCAGCATAGACGGCGAACGATTTGGTGGGTGTCTTGATGAGCCAGCCGTTGCGCAGGTCGCCCTCGTCCGGCACCGTGTCGATGGTGACGCTCTCCAGCGGGATGATGTGCTGCTTGTTGTACTTCTTCTTCTGGATGACAATGTTGCCGTAGACCAGGATGTCATTGAAGAGGAAGAACTGCCGCGCCTTGGGCTTCTTGCGGCAGAGTTTGGTGAGGACGCCCTCGCCGATCAGTACACGGCCCGGGATGGCCAGCGGCTGGCCTGCAGCACCAAAGCAGCCCTCCACCACCGCAATCCGCTTAGAGTTGGCCTCGCTGTTCGCAAGCCGGTCCACCATCTTCACCTCACCTGAAGGAAAACAGAAAGAGAGGAAAGTTTGAAAACAAATACTTTTACCAACAGTTCTATTAGAGGAGTGTTTACAAAACATGTTATTTTAAGCCATCCTAACTAACAGAATATTTTATGAATCATTATATTACAATAATGTTGACTGCAGCGACAAAGTAAGTCAAAGTGATTATATAACATTATGCAGAATGGGGACTGGATTTTTCACAAGTTACTGCTGAACAAATGGAAAACTCAAGTAGGTACAGAAGTTTTCTGCTTTTGTTTGGTTTTGTCATATTTTGAAGGGTGCTGCACGGTGGCTCAGTGGTTAGCACTGTTGCCTCGCAGTTGGAAGGTCGCCGGTTTGTGTCCCGGTGAGGACGCCTGGGGTCTTTCTGCGTGGAGTTTGCATGTTCTTCCTGTGCAGTGTGGGTTCTCTCCGGGTTCTCTGGCTTCCTCCCACAGTCCAAAAACATGTTGAGGTTAATTGGTGATTCTAAATTGTCCGTAGGTGTGAATGTGAGTGTGCTTGGTTGTCTGTCTCTAAGTGTAGCCCTGTGATAGACTGGTGACCTGTCCAGGGTGTCCCCTGCCTTCACCCTGAGTCAGCTGGGATAGACTCCCGCCCCCCACGACCCTAGTGAGGATTAAGGTTATACATTTAATGTTGGATTACAGTCACGACTGTACTTCAAAACCCAAAAGGTGGCTTGTACATGATGCTGAGTTTCAGCAGCCCATCACAGAAGCACCAGAAAATATAAGAGGACCTGCAGAGAAACACACAGGCAGTGCTCAGCACGAAGGCACTTTACATTTGCTTACCTCTGTGCTCACACATACTGTATGTTAATACAGCCGAATTCCCAATAACACTGTTCTCATTTACATCTGTTTCTGTTGTCATACGGCAGGAATAGGGAACCAAATAGGGTCTGAAACGCAGCAAACTAAAACGATGACTTCTGATAAACGAACCATGCATATATGTGCAGTGAATTCAGCAATGCTTTCATAAAATTTGAAGTTACTGCCACGGTCAGAGAGCATTTGTACAAGGAGAAGTGTTCTTTCTCACTTTGTTCAGGGTTCATTTTTGTCACGGTGGAGTTTCCAGTTTAATGCTACAGTTTTGCTCTTTAACCTACAAACCTTTGTCTACATGGCATACTGTGCTGTGTTATACAATCGCATACAAAATAAAATAAAAGAATAATTGGTGAAATAGCCAACAGATTAATCGATAGAAAAAATACTGCTTTACGTGCCACGCCATGATCAGCCGTCTGTGGTGATTTCAAACATCTATCACATGTTGGTTGTGTTCCAAATGATCGCATTTTACACAACTTATCTGTGTAGTTGAGACCTGACCTAAACCATGGGACTTCGAGCAGCAACATACTTCTCACACTGATTAGAAAACCTCTGATCTTTATCACGTGTGGGTTTTAAAATGCCACCGGAACAGTCGCAGTTTCCAACCAATCAAATGCAACACTTCATACTACTACTCTGGCATGGCCTCGCCTCTCTCAACTAGAGATAATAGCTCATCATCAAACAACAAGAAGAACACGCCAGCCAGCCACATTTCAACTGTCAGTCATCGATTTCCAGCAATGAATAAATCATTCCAGCAAACTGCATAATCAGGAAACTTGTGTGGAACAATGACTAACTCCTTCCTTAATGGAAGTTATGTTTGAGAAATTTTCCTCAGCTAATGTTCTTAGCTATTAAACAGTCATGAGATTTATTTAACTGACACAGACCTCTGCCTAATCAGCTGTACCACCTGAACCCCACATGCAGCAGTTCAGTGTGTGTGAAAACTAGTCAGCAGTTGCTCAGAAAGTTGAAACAAATCACTTAAAGCAGAATAAATATCCAGCCTCCTGACTTTCTTTAATGTATGACTGTAAATTGACAAAGCTGTCACATCCAGTTTAACCCCTAAAGAGCACATCCAGTAACGTCAGCTCCTCTCAGGCTTTGTACCACTGAAAAAACAGGCTGAGAGTGACTCAACTATTTTATTTAGTGTTTGTTTGGATTGCAAGGTCAGCAATAAATAATAAAGGTTTCACATTGAAACACTGTACTTTTGACAGCCTTCCAGGCAGAATTCAATTGAGACAAGAAAAAGCGCCGGCAGGTTTTTCCTCTCTGCTGTGACCCTGATGGCAGAACTCACGGGTTCCCCGTTGGCTTTATTGAGAGCGCAGTAAAGGAGGTCACAGGTCACTGATGATAGAGATGAGAGGGTGCTGACGCTCTCTGGCAAGACCAGAGGGTTGAGTGCAGAGTTGTGACCTCAAAAAAAAATTGCTCACATGCATAATGACGTACACAGAGCATGATAGACACGGGAGCAAACACAAGCCAAGAGGATACTATACAATCCCACAAGTACTTGTCTTCTGACGCTTTACTTAGTGGTTCATCTTTAAGGGTTCACTGGTTTTCAGGTCCTGACTTTGGTTTGATGTATTGATTCTTCCTACTGTTGTGAATACTGGCATGTTTTTTCTGCTTTTCATCAGATGCTTGAACTGTTTCTGTAAGGCTTATACAGCTAAAAATGCTCTAACAACTGATAAAAGGAAACCGCTAAATATTGTCAGCTTCACAGAGGTACCATTTATGTTCAACTAGTTATAAAAAAATAAATGAACCCGCTACAATCAACATTTGTTCTGTACCGTTATGCTAAAAGGTTTCAACACCCACTGCACAAATTAACCGTCACAGACGATGGGCTCAAAAAGACAGTCTGATATGCTAATGCACCCCCCCACACACACACCACCTAAGTCGTTCAGAAACCCAGGAAAAACCCTGCACGATGCACAATACTGTATAACTGCTCAGCAGCTATCATCGGCATGTTCGCGTCGACGCTCACGTGATGGCATGTAGCTCAAAGAAAACTGCCTCACGGAAGCGTGGCTATTCTTAACCTTGTCTTTCAAGTAACCCAATAATGACTTAGTACATAAATTCCCATCAAGTGATCTGTACAAAGCCCAACTTTCCAAAACATTCAGTTAACAATGATATAAGTAGAGCAAAGCTAGATTTACAGAGCTAGAAATAATTGATTTGTCTGCTTAAGAATAAAGAATGAATTGCTGATCAATTTTCTGTTGACTCTTTAAATAAATAACTAATCTTTTAGCTCTACAGTAACCTAAAACAAAGTTCCCATACAGGTCCATCAAATAAAGGCAAAGCGGCGTAGGCTACGGTTACATTTGATGTCCTCTATAAACTTTCTATCCTTCATAAGATGAATAATGTTTGTACACCAAACAGACTTTTGGTTTGAGGCATTTGTTTGTTTGGAAGTGGGTGGACTGCACTTGAACGAACTCTTTAACTGCAACATACAGAAAACAAAGTGTAGGTGTCATTGTGCTCTTGGTTTCCTGCCCTTTACATGAAAACAAAACCGCAGCGTTAGAAATGATGCTAATTAGCCAGCAGATGCCAGTGCAGCTTGGGCCGGGCTCCCCAGTGATCTGCACACTAATAACCCAGAGTGAGCTGCTGCTGAAAGCCCTGGAGAGGACAGAGGGGCTGCTGACATGTCAACCCTGTTAGCGAAGGCTCATTGCCCACCGCTGAGCCGACCGGGCGACCAGCTCCCATCCAGCAGAGAGTGGAAGGCACGGAGAGCAAAAGGCCTAGAGAGAGAAAATGGCATAAATACAGGCTGGAGGTTTTTAAACCAGTAATCAAAGCGAGACAGAGTGGAATGAAACAGACAGAAAAAAATGCACAGAAATACTACAGAGGAAAGAAGGAGCTTTCTTTGGACTGTAGTGATGAATGACAGGGATGGCAGCCTTCGTGAGCAGAGACACGAACGAGGACACAAAGAGGGATCTAAAGGCGTCGTAGTGTGATGGTAAAGCGAGTACAAACATTTCATAAAAAGAGATGTTTTCTTTAATACATACAAGTGATCATTTTACCAGCTGACCACCTGGTTGATTCTAAACACCAGTACAACACAACACCAGGCACCTTTAATCGTAGTGAAATTGGGAAAAGAACGCAGACACGTGCACATAAGGGTTAACAGCAACAGATCCAAGTTACAACTGACAAACACTTTAGTTTATCCTTTACTCAGCCAATCATTTTATTAATTAATCCTATAAGAGTCTCTAAGAAAATAATGAAAACTAATCAAAAAGCTGCATATCAACATATCAAAATTGATAATTTTCTGACAACAGACTTGTCAAAGAACCTGAATGAACACTGACAGGTTGAATTTCCTTTACGTAACATCAGCTGAACTATGACTTCCTGATGAATCTTATCCACTAGGACGAATGTCAACAAGACAACCCTGCAGATTTCTTATCATCGACTTGATTCATGGTCTCTTTCTGGCACGCGAATGATGAGCAATTGCTTTCTTTTCCTTCAGGATGTCAACCTCTAAGAAATAATAATAAAAAGAAAAAGGAATGAAGAAATTCTAGAGGGACAAAAGTAGACCGTGTGCTGACATGAGGTTGTGTGAAAGGAATATCTTACCAGCCTCAGACATCTAACAGATGCTTTGTACAGAAATTCCTAGTGTTTTTAAAAATAGCAAAAGCATCTGCATGAAAATACTAGTTTCATCCTCTCCTTAGATGCATTTGCCATTCCTGTATACAGTAAATATGGTATTTTGCTTTATAATTTGGGATTCGTAACCATTTTAAACGAGTTCAGAACACCGTGTATCGTACGAGGGCTGTGGTTTCTCATCCCTCAACAACAGAGTGAACATCTCCGACAAGGTTATTCAAAAGAAATGCAAATTATTCCTAGAACCTACACAAAGCACCAAAGATTAAGCGTAGCGGCACAGAAATGTAGGAACCCAAGCAAATAGTCAAGTCAAGAACCTGTGAATTATGAACAAGGACACAGACAGAATCCACAAGCATTGGTGCTACAGAGGCCTGAATGGTGTGACTGCTGCTGAAAAGGATCAAAGCAAGGTGTTT